TGTGTTTAATACAGCCTCATTCATTAATCCTTTTCTTTATGATTAGTATATTTTAGTTCTATTTAAGCAATATTTTCCTACCCTAAGATCGTAAAGATACTCTCTTTTATCATCATCTTTTATCTTTTACATATAAAGTCTACCTAGGAGTTAATTTTTTTATGTTCCCTTGTTGGTCTGAACTACCACCTTTTTCAAAAGACAAATGTCCATAGTGAAATAGGTCTGATTTAGGATTATTATCTTTCATTGTTTCACTTGCTTAGTCTTGCATCGATGCTATATTATCTTCCTTTAAAATGTCATGCTATCTGATTATGTCCTCCAACTTTGACATCTTCAAGATAATCTTGGCTAATTTAGCCCCCATATTTTCTTTCATTTATAAATCAATTTATTGATCTCTATTAAAACAGAAACTCTTGGGGGTTTGAATGAAATTTTACTGATTCTGTAAGTGCATTTGGAGAGAACTGACATCTTAACATTATTGTAATTTCCAATCCATGAACAAGCATATTATTCCACTTATTTAAACCTTGTTTAGCTTGATAACATTTATAATTTTCTGGGTCCTGATCTTTCATTTTATTTATTCTTAGGAACTTCATGATGTTTCATGCCTTTGTAAATAGTACCCTTTCTTATTTCTTGCTGTCATATATAAACACAATTTACTTTTGTATGGTGATCTTACCAGCAACATTGTTAATTTTATTTACTCTAATAGTTTAATTGTACATTCTTCTGGATTTTTTTATGTACAAAAATCACATCTGTCTGCAAGTAATGGTAGTTTTGTTACTTTCTCCCCATTTATTCTGTCTTTTCTTCTCTTTTTTAATGTGTTGCTTTGGCTAGGACCTCCAATACAATGTTGGATAGAATGATAACAAGCATGCCAATCTCATTTCCAAATTTAAGGCTGAAAACCTTCAGCATTTCACCATTAAGTGTGGTGTTTGCTATAGCATTTCATAGGTATAATTGATATCTTTTATTTATAATTCATAAATTAATATTGGATTTCATGAACTGAATTTTTGTTTTTGTTTCACATCTATTGAGAGGTCCACATGGTTTTTCTCTTTTATTCTGTTGTCATGAATTGGTTGATTTTCAAATGTTAAGTCAAACTTGAATTTCTGAAATAAAATTCACTTAGGTATGATACATGTTCTTACTATACAATGCTGGATTCATTTTGCTAATGTTTTCTTTTGGATTTTTCTAGTCTATATTCATGAAAAAAAATTGTCCTCAAAAATTTGTTTCTTTTGATATCCTGCTCAGATTATGGTATCAAGGTTAGTATGTAGAATGCATAAAATGAGTGCTTCCTCTTTTTCAATTCTCTAAAGCAATCTGTATAACACTAGGGTTATTTGTTTTTCACACAATGAATAGAGTTCACCAGTGAATCCATAGACCTATAGCTTTGAAGCCAATGGAAATGTTTTAAGCTTCAATACATTTAATAAGTTAGGAATATTAAGCTTTCTATTTCTTGTTGATTCCGTTTTGGCAAAAAATGCTTTCCAGAAATGTGTTTATTTCATCTAAATTTTCTAATTGATCAGTATAATGCTTTTCATAAATTACTCTTGTTATCTTTCTAAAGTTTGCAAAATCTGTAGTGATATCACCTTTAACTTTCTGGATCCTGACTTATTTATGCCTTTGTTCTTTTTAAAATTAATCTTGTATATGTAAATTTATTAAATTTCCAAAGACTAAATCTTGGCTTTCTTGACCCTCTAACATTGTTTTAAGTTTCATTAACTTCAGCCATTACCTTGATTATCTCAATTATCTCTTTATCCTACTTTTTTGAGCTTAGTTTATTTTCTTCAGCAAACTTCTTACGATAGATGTTTAAATTATTGATTTTTCAACTTTTTTTCTTTTTTTAATATGTGCCCTTAAGCTGTCAATTTTCCATTGAGTATGGCATTACTATGTTCCACAATTTTTCTATTCATATTTTTCTTCATTTCCATTCACTTCAAAATATTTTCTAATTTCCATAGTGATTTATTCTTTAATCTATTAGTTTCTTAGAGGTTACTTGTTAATTTCTACACATTTGGAAACTTCTCTAATTATCTTTCCATTAAATTCTGTGTGATTTCAATTCTTTAAAATTTGTTGAAACTAGCTTTGATCCAGTAAATGGTCAATTTTAAATGTTTCATGTACATTTCAAAAGGATGTGTAATCTACAGTTGTTAGAAGCAGTGCTCAATATATTTTACACTTAATGTTTTCGTTAACTATTTTGAAAAAAATCTTCCATATTCTTATTTTTTTCCTACATGCTGTATTAGTTACTGAGAGAGAGAGGTGTTAAAAATCTCCCATAATGATTTTGTTTTGTTTTTTCAATTATTATTTCTCTTTCAGTTTCTGTCTATTCTGTTGTATTTTGAGGCTATGTGATTACGTGCATATCAATTTAGATATTTTATTATCTCCTCTAGGTGTACTGGTCTTTTATTGCTATGAAGTATCCCTCTAGCAATGCTTTTTGCACTAAAGTCTACTTGATTAAATAGTAATTTAGAAACACTAGTTTGCTTTTTATTTTGGTGGCATATTTTTTCCATCTTTTTACCTTCAACCATTTTTATCACATTAAATTCATGTCTCTTATAAGTAGTATTTTGCTAAGCCTCTTAAACACAGTCTAACAATCTTTGCCTTTTAATTAAAAGCATTTAGTCATTTATACTCAGTGTTGTTACTGAACTACTATTTAGCTTAAACTTACCATATTAGTATCATTTTCAATTATTCCATCTATTCTATATCTTGTTTTTCCCCTGATTACCTTAGATTAATTATTTCACACTCATTTCTCCCAGGCTTAGCATATCAAATATATATTCTCTTACTGTTCTTTTCATGATTATCCTAGAGATTACAGCATGCAGCATCCTTGATTCATTCGAGTGCATTACAAAAAGTACTTTAACCACTACCTAAATAATTTTAGTATCCTACAGTGCTTGAATTCCATGTACCTTCTCCAATATTATCTGGTTATTGTTGTGTATTTTAATTCTATCTGCTGAATTCCAGAACACATTGTTGACATTTTATACAGTCAGTATCTATTTAGATTCTCCCACACATTTATCCTTTCGGTTGTTCTTTAATCTTTTCTGCTTCTCTATGCTTCTAAAAAGCATCATCTTTTGTATTTTCTCTACCACAAAACCTCCTATGATCAATCTAAAGTGTCCTCAAACACTCTTCATCACAATACTCTTATTTTAATTCTACATCTATCACTTACCAATTTTTTGATAATCAGAATTGCTTCATTTATTCATTTGCTTATTGTCTCTGTAAGAGTGCGTACCTTCTAACTTGTTCACTTTTGTATCTCCAGAGTATAAAACAGAGCCTAGTCCTTAAATGAATAAAGGAGTGAGTGAATGAGTCTGCATCTCACAAAAAAGGTCAGGACAGGAGACATAAATTTAGAAGACACCAGAAAGATGGTGTCTGAAGACAAGGGGGATTCAATGAGATTGTCTAGGAAAAGGATGTTGTTGTTAAGTGGCATCGAGTTGGTTCCAACTCATAGCTACCCTGTATATGGTTTCCAAGGAAAAGGACAGGTATATAAAAAAGAAGATTCAGGACACAGCAATGGTGATATCCAGACTCATTAGAGCAGAAGAGGAGAGGTTAGCAAATACTGAGAGGGAGCAGCCAACAGGTAAAAGGAATATCAAGAGAATATGAGATCCAAGAAACAATAAAATTTCAAGAATGGAAAATGAGTAACTCAATTGCATGCTCACAAGAAGTTGAGTAAGATTCCCATGATGGAGAACTGACCACTGCATTCAATAATTTAGGGATAATAAGTAATTTGACAAAACACAGTATGCTATTATGAAAAGATTTTGTGGTGTAACTACCTCATTGTCTTATTTCATATATCAGCATTGCATATAATTCATAATGGCGTTGTCTTTTAAATATGCCCACTTAAGACCCACGAAGTTGGGAAAAATATTATGAAGAATTGACTAATTTATATTTCAATTGAGTGTTGAAGACAGAAAACTGAGAAATGCAGGTTAAAAAGAAAGTTGGAAGCACCTATTTTAAGAACGTTAGCACTGAAAACTCTTCCAAGAATCTTAGTTGTAAAGGAAAGCAGTTAATTAGGACAGTAAGATGTAGTAAACCATGCTGGGTGGAGGATGAAAGAATATTCATTCAAGAGAGAATTTTTGAGATGTTACGCCTTAAATGGCAATATCAAACTCCATCAAAATAATTTATTTATAATATCAAAAAGTTATTAGATCTATGAGGGCTGATGCCCTGGACTGCAAAGTCAGCTTAAACCACAAGGTTGGTGGATTCAAGCTCAGCAGCAGCACCTTGGAAACCCTACACAGGGTCACTATGGGTCAGAATAGATGCAGTGACACTTAACAACAACAATCCAAATAAAACTAACACAAACTTTTATGAACTTCTTTAAATAATACAGGTAAACTGAGTCAATGGTCACAGGGTTCCTTGACCATTTGGCAACTTGTCTTTCAGAGAACTACATCAACAAATTGATCATTTATCAAATAAGATTTTAGAAAATTGATTTCAGAATATTAGTATGAGTATGTATTCCTATTAATGATCAGTAACATTTATTAAACACTACTATGAGTAATGATCAGTTCAGCGAGAGGGATGACCTTACTTAGAACATACTGAGGCATGCCTAGCTATGGATAGGCTAAGACCAGAAAATAGACACTTATAGTAGTCCAGTCAAACAGTGTAGACGTTTCACTGTATATAGAGTAAAAAGAAGCTTATCATAGGTACCTTCTTTTTTTAAAGTTGAATCAATTATGATAAAATGTGGGTTAAAAATGTAAAATCTCATTGTGAAAATTCAAGAATGAAGGAAGAAAATACAAGAAAAGTTCATTTTTATTTCCCTTTCTAGGTTCACATATATTTTACTAAATATGTCTACTCTTCTGGATAACATCATTTCTATCATTGACATTTTCGAACATTATTCAAGCAAATACATGGAAAATGACACATTGTGCGAAAAGGAACTGAAGGAACTTCTGGAAACCGAGTTCCGGCCAATTCTGAAGGTAAAAGCTATTTGTAATAATGGTATAGTACTTCTGATCTTCAATACTGAAAAGATTTTTTTGTGAATACTTTGTGAATGTTTCCTTTTCAAAGAGAAGCAGAGAGAATCTTATTTAAAAACCAATAGAATCTACTTTCCTACCTTTAAACATACAGGCATTCACACATATTCATAAATATATGAATTCTTATGTAGGAGAAAAAGAGTGTAAATATTTGAATATAAAATGGCTCTTCAAAAACTTTCCCCTGACTTCAAGCTACTTAATAAAGTTATGTTTAAGAAACAACTCAATTGTAAATTATAAACAATGCTGATGTTTGAAGTAAAAAAAAAAGAGGGAGTGGTACCATAAAATAATTTTTAAATAGCGTATTAGTTTTTACCATGTATTTCTTTGGCTAGTTCCAATGTTCACCAAATCAGTCACAATAAACAAAAAAAGATTTAAAAAATGACAATAACACCAAACTAGACTCCACATTTCATGTCACTAATTCACATTGCCACAATTTACTTCAAATAATTTATCTGCAGATGCAAATAAATCTAATATGTACTCTTTTCTTATCTCTGCCTATTCAGAACCCAGATGATCCAGATACTGTTGATGTATTCATGCACATCCTAGATATAGACCACAACAAGAAAGTGGACTTCACTGAGTTCTCACTGATGGTATTCAGGTTGTCTCAAGCATACTATGACTCTACGAAGAGACAAAAAATTGAAACATCAGACCGAAAACATACAAAGCACTCTCACACAGAAAAAAATAATCAAGATGGAGTAAAGGATGTAGATAGTGACGAGGAAAAGAGAAGGGACACGAGTCATTCAAAACGTCATGGAAGGAGAGAGGAAAAGAGTCCAATTAGAACAGACAGAAAGAAACACGGACATACCACAAAAAATAAAGAAAGAAGTGATGGTTCATCATCATCTCGCCATACAGAAAAAAAGGGGAAAAAACAACATCATGAGAAACGAGGTAAAAGCATCAGGTCCAGTTCAATCGAGTTAGAAGAAACAAGGGGTGAAAAAAGAAAAAACAATAATGGACGAACAATGGGAGGTGAAGATGAATATGGTTATGAAGAAAAGGGTATAGAAAGTGAAAACTGTAGACATTCAAGTTATGTCTCTTCCTATGCAGTCATGGATCAAGAGGCCAGCGACAGTGAAGGACTATCAGAAAATTCAGAGAGAAAACAGTTGTCACATAAAAGTAGGAAATATGAAATAACTCCAGTGCAGTCAAGAGACAGGACTAAGCACTCAGAGACTCATCACAAGTCTGATTCAACCCATGGACACTCAGAATCCAATGGCAGAGGAAGACAAGGATCTGCTCATGGACAGTCTGTAGACAGCTCTAGGCATTCCCGATCTCATAAGGAAGAGACAGACTCCCATGGACAGCCACGCTCAAGTGCAAGAGGAAGACATGAATCTCCAAAAGGACAGTCAGCTGAACGCCCCAGGCATTCCAGATCTGCACACGAAAGGTCACAGTCTGGGGCCACAGTGGGAAGACACACTGGAGCCACTGCTGAACAGGCTAGTGACAGCGAAGGGCAGTCAGAAGATTCTGGTAGACAACCAGCATCAACACATGGACG